TCTCATCTATTTTTTGCAGATGATTCTCTCATTTTTTGTCAAGCTGATAATCATCATGCTTCTCAAATCCTTCATATTCTGAATACATATTGTTCTATGTCCGGTCAGTCTGTTAATCTTGCCAAATCTAATATCTTCTTTTCTGGGAACACTCCTGAATCTTTTAAAAATTCTATTTGTCTTATTTTGAATGGAATTGTGGTGGCTAAGAGCTCCAAATATTTGGGGCTTCCTTTGGGGATAGGTAGAAATAAGAGAGATACTTTTTCCTTTGTGAAAGAGAGTGTAGTTGCTAAGATAACTAATTGGAAGCATAATTTTCTGAGTGAAGCAGGTAAAAGAGGTGCTTATAAAAACAGTGTTGAGTGCTCTTCCTGTGTATGTTATGTCAGTGTATAAAATCCCAGTGAGTGTGTGCAGGGAGATTTGTAGGGAGATAGCAGGTTTTTGGTGGGGAAAAAATGATGAGGGGAGTAAAAGAATACACTGGGCTCAATGAGATTATTTAGCTAGGGATAAGGATGAGTGTGGTATGGGTTTCAGGGACTTAATAGATTTTAATACAGCCCTACTCATGAAACAACTATGGAGGGTTTTGACAAAACCTAACATACTTATGAGTAGGTTGATCAGGGGGACATATCTATATAGGAAATGTTTATGGGAGGTTCAATAAAGAGATAGGGATTCATGGATGTGGAGGAGTTGGCTGGAGGTTAGGGATGTTTTTAAGCTGGGTTTTAGATATCAGATTGGGACTGGGCAATCTATAGATATATGGAAAAATCCCTGGATACCTGATACTCCTTTGTTTAAACCTGTTTGTTATTTTGAAGGGAGTAGAGAAAGGTTATGCAAAGTATCTAATCTGATGACAGTAGATGGAAAAGCATGGGACACTGAGCAGATCATGCAGTCCTTCTCTCCAAATGATGCTACAAATATCCTCAAAATCCATATCAGTCATACAGGGATGCAGGACAAGATCATATGGCATTTTGAAGACAGTGGGAGATTCACAGTGAAAAGTGCATATAACTTGATTCAGAGGATAAAGAAGGGGAATAGAGAACAGGTTGGAACAAGTAGGGATGGGAAGCTGCAGAAGAAGATTTGGAGGAAAACATGGAGCCTGCATATAAAGCCAAAAATCAAGAATTTTTTATGGAGATGCTATCACAATTGGGTGGGTACAATGGACAATCTGAAAAGAAGAGGGGTGCAGGTGGACAGTATGTGTTGTTGGTGTGGAGAGGCAGAGGAGAGCGTTGACCATCTATTTTTCTATTGTGATAGAGCACAAAAAGTGTGGAAGATTGCTAGATTGAGTTGGAACATCATACAGCAATCCTCAGGTAGCTTTCAACAATGGTGGCAGGAGATGTGTGAAATGAGAGAGGAAGACCATAACAGGAAAAGAATTGCCCTATCCACTTACCTGTTATGGTGGCTGTGGAAAACGCGAAATAATTGGGTGTTTAACAGGATACATAGTGAGGAGATGGTTGTAGTAAATGGGGCTAGATCAGAATGGCTTGAATATGAGGAGGTGAAAGGGGGGGACAAGGAAAATCAGCCACTGGATTGTCAGAAGAATGAGGGTCAAGCTACAAATGTGGAACAAGGAGTAGGGTTGAATGAAACCAGTGCTAATGTACCACAAACTGTTCTGGAAGGAGCTGAAGGACAGACTAGGGAGCAGGGCATGGACATTCACCAATGGCAAGACTCTAGGAGTGGTGGCTCACATTACTCAGTAGAGGCTATGCTACTAACTTTGAGGAAATGGCTTGAGGAGGGAGAGGCAAAAGGATGGCAGAGGGTGGAGCTTAGAATTCACAACAAAAGTTTCTTCAAGAGACTGCAAACTAGAGGTGGATTTAATGTGAAGCTAGAAGCTCTTGCATATGATATTTTCAGCTTAATGGACAGGTTTCTTGATGTAGTAGTGTTGTTTGTTCCTTAGGTGGTTAAGTGTTTTTTCTTCTTGTGTTGGTGATGTGTTTAGTTCTAGTGTAGTGTTGTGTTTTTCTGTAAGTGTTGTATCTATCTTTGTTGTTTTTGGCTTGTTTTTGTGTTTTTGTCGATGGGCCAATGGGGCTGTGTAGGGGAACCCTTGATGGTATCCTCCTGTTTCTCTTTTCGACCGTTTGGTTGGTCGGTTATGTACAAACTTTGAGTTTAGTAATAATATGATCATTTGAGGTGTGAAAAAAAAAAAGAACAGCATCAAACTTTAATGTGAAATAATTGTCATAACTTTGAATTGCTTTTGAAATACATTCAAACAATTGAATAGTCATTCGAAAACGACGACGAAATTGGTCAGGAGTGTATTTCGAATTCTCACCACTAAAATAGTCTTTGACAATTACATCATGTCGTTTTCTATCATGATGTATATAACATCTCTCACTCGTAGACCCACCATGAAGACCTTTTTCTTTGACTAACAACAGAGAAACTATTAAAGGAACATGGAGTAGACATGTTTGAACCAAATCCATATCCGTTTATGTATCTAGAGTGTCATCTCCAGTAGGCTCATCCAACAGTTTTTTAGTTAACGAAAGTTCGCAATCACTGTTTGATGAACTATTGGAGTCTCAATCATAACAAAAATTCGCTATTTATTATTTGTTAACCTGTAGAAAAATAAAAAATAAAAAAACCACGTAGAAGTTATTAACAATATTAATCTATAGACTTGTGTTAATCTTGTGGTAATCAAACATAATTGATCAAATAAAACTAACCAAATGCATACTACAGGCGACCAAATAAATAAACATTATACAATGAATATATTCTCAAAACATACACACAGTATAAAGAATTATAAATGTATGACAAAAGAACGAAAAAAATGGAAGGTGAGAGAACCAATTTTACCTGTGCAACTCAATATTGAATAGAAGATAGGCCAAGCTACCCGTCCCAAAATTAGAAGACTGTATATAGGCCAAGCCGCCAAAGCTTCTCACTAAATTTTTTTAGTGTTTAGGAAATTTATAATTTGTTATTGTACAAAAGAGGGGCCTAAAATTTGGGTTTATTGAAAACTGAAGCCCAAAATAAAATAAATCTTCAAAAGCCCATAATATTTAGGAGTTGTTCACATTGTGCATTGAGGAACA